ATATATATATATATATATATATATATATATATATATAATATGTAAGAAGTAATTCGGGCTACAACAGTTGATTTTTAATAATTAACTTTAATCTCTAAAAAATATTTATAATATTTTGAAGTTTTTTAAATATTAAGTTTTTTATTTTTTAATATAATATAGTACAAATATTTTAATATTTTTTTGTTTAGAAAATTTATTTGTTACTAAAAAAATACTTGTCAAAAGTAGTTTGTATTATTAAATCTAATATATATCTAATATATATGGCAAGTGCTATCATTTCTATTAAGTTCTTATTAAGTTTAAGTAAAAATAAAGCAATACTTTCAATTAAAAGACTTTTTTAAAGAGAGATTTATCTTTCATAAGAAAAATGTTTGTAATACACTAGTCAGTTATGTTATGACTTTCAACACTTTTATGATGAATATGTATAAAACATATTTTTATATATAATATAAAATAAATAAATTTATGAAAAATAATAAAATAATTTTATTTCAAAGATATTACATGCTAATATACAAATAAATATATATACAAATAAATAAATATATACGAAATATAAAATTATAGTAATAAAATAAAATAATGATAAAAAATATAGTAATAAAATAAAAATATTTTCATTATAATTTCTCTGTTTGACATATAAAACATTTATATATTTTGAGCAATTAATTGACGACGTAATTCATCTCGTAAAATGCGGCCACATTCATTCGCAGGGATAATTTCATCACTATTATTTCTAATAATAATAATCTCTAATTATCTCTAATTATTAGTAATCTAATAATAATTTCTAATAATAATCTCGGCTTCTGGATCAGGATAATCATCTTCATGCGGAGGTTCTAATAATTCTATTTCACCTGCGCTTGCTAAATTATATAAAACACAACAAGCATGTATTAGGTATACAAAAAAGTTCTGAGCTTTTTTTTTGTAAAATTCAATTTTTATTCAAAAATAAACAAAAAAATATTAATCAGAAATATTCCCCGTTTGCATCAACGACCTTTTGCCATCTTTCAGGTAGCTTGCGAATTCCTTGACGATAGAAGCTCACCGGCTTCGAAGCGATAAAGTCATCAATGCATTTTCGTATCTCTTCAAATCTCACGAAATGTGTATCAGCCAAATGATGCTGCAGCGACCAGAATAGGTAGTAATCGGAAAGCGCCATGTCTGGGCTATACGCCGCGTGCGGGAGAAGTTCCCAGCCTAATGCAAAGATCCTGAGTTACTTTCGCAACATGTGGTCGAGCATTCTCATGAAGCTTGATCACTTTACGACGTCTTTGGCCAGTAAATGGCCTCTTTTCTTCTAATGCATCGCATGCATTTCGTATATATTTATTTATTTGTATATATATTTATTTGTATATTAGCATGTAATATCTTTGAAATAAAATTATTTTATTATTTTTCATAAATTTATTTATTTTATATTATATATAAAAAATTGGTCAATTGTTATTGGTAGCGGTCTGTCGTGATTGTTTCACCCGGTTGTAACAACTCGTAATACAATACATCTTTCCAATCCCACCAGATACAGAGCAAAACCTTCTTGGCGTGGATATTGGGCTTTGGCGTCGATGTCGAAGGTTAACCAGGGTCAACCCATGATTTTCTACGTTTCGGGTTATCATAAAGAATCCACTTTTCATCGCCTGTAATGATTTTGTGCAGAAAATCTTTTTTTCGGAACTTTGAAAGCAAAGTGAGTGCAGTGTCATACCGACGATTTTTGTTATCTTCGGACAATTCATGCGGAACCTATCTGTCTTCCTTCTGAACCTTTCCCATCGTATGTAAACGTACGGAAATGGTTTGCTGCGTAACGCCAAGCTATTCTGCAAGCTCCTTTTCAGTTTGCGCAGAGTTTATATCCAGCAGTGCTTGCAATTCGTCCGTTTCAATCTTTTGAGGGTGTCCAGCACGCGGTTCATCTTCAAGACTGAAATTTCCTTGGCGAAATTTTTGATACCATCTTTTACATGTAGTATGACTTACAGCGTTCTCCTCCATATGC